CCTGGAATACTTGCCTCCAGTTTTGGTCACCACATTACAAAAAAGATGTTGAGACTTTGGAAAAAGTGCAAAGAAGAGCAACTAAGATGATTAAAGGCCTAGAGACTAAAAGATATGAAGAACGGTTGCAAGGATTTGGGTTTGGCCAGTCTAGAGAAAAGAAGGACTAGGGAGGACATAATAGCAGTCTTCCAATATTTGAGGGGCTGCCACAATGGGGGTCAATCTGTTCTCCAAAGCGCCTGAAGGCAGGACAAGGAGCAACGGGTGGAAGCTAACCAAAGAGAGAAGCAACCTAGAACTAAGGAGAAACTTCCTGACAGTTAGAACAATTAACCAGTGGAACAACCTGCCTCCAGAAGCTGTGAATGCTCCAACACTGGAGGTTTTTAAGAAGAAACTGGACAGCCATTTGTCTGGTTATAGAATCCTTGGTTTTATAAACAGAGGCATAGAATCAAAATCACATGAAGTATTAGTATCTCTTTATAAAGCCTTAGTACGGCCACACCTGGAATACCTGCCTCCAGTTTTGGTCACATTACAAAAAAGAGGTTGAGACTTTGGAAAAAGTGCAAAGAAGAGCAACTAAAATGATTAAAGGCCTGGAGACTAAAACATACAGTATGAAGAACAGTTGCAGGATTTGGGAATGGTCAGTCTGGAGCAGGGGTGTCAAACTGCCGGCCCATGGGCCGGATGCATCATAGCGAAACCACGCCCACCCCATTGCAGGCAATGGCAAAAAAGTTGCAATACGTCACAACACGTCACATGACATTGTGAGTTTGACACCCCTGATCTAGAGAAAAGAAGGACTAGGGGAGATATGAGAGCAGCAGTATTTGAGAAGTTGCCACAAAGAAGAGGGGGTCAATTTATTTTCCAAAGCACCAGAAGGCAAGACAAGAAACAACGGAAGGAAACTCATAAGGAGGGAAGCAACCTGGAATTAAGGAGAAACTTCCTAAGAGGGAGGACAATTAACCAGTGGAACAGAAGTTGCCTCCAGAAGTTGTGGGTGTTTCATCACTTGAGGTTTTTAAGAAGAGACTGGGCAGCCACTTGTCTGAAATGGTATAGGATCTCCTGCTTGAGCAGGGGCTGGACTAGAAGACCTCCAAGGTCCCTTCCAGCTCTATTCTGATTCTGATTCCAGTCAGGCTGAGGCAGAGCACAGAAAAGATGTTCGTTGTACTTCCGGATGATTGCAGGTGGATCTGGAATGGGAAGGGGGTGGTGTCCTTGATGGCATCCTTCCGACGGATCATGAGTGGAAAGCCTGGCCTTATAATGGGTCTCCTCCTGTGTCTGGAGCTGGTTCCAGGCAGGCGGATGGGGAAGAGGCTGAGCCTCGCTCCTCCTTCTCAACCTTCTCAAGTCTGGGCGAGGTCATCCATTGACCCATGATATATCGGACCCTAATTGACTAAGGGCCCAGAGACGGTTGCAAGCTGGATGGAGAGGAGCAGGCAACAAGGGCCTAGGGCTGGACCTCCCTCCCCCTCCTCCCCCCCAAACTGGCCTTGGAGAAAGGAGTAGAACCACAGAAGTAGAGCGCCTCCTATCTCTCCCCCCCCACCACCATCGGCCGCTGGCTCAGAAGGATGCCACAACCCCCAGTGTGGAAAGCCAAGGAGATGGGCTGGGGCAGGCCGGCCCCGTTCCCATCCCAGGCCTGCCTCCACAAGGGCAGCCGATGGTTTCTTGGGGCGACATCTGGGCCTGGAGCCATGGACCTTGACAGGTCAAGACAAGCCCTTTCTCCAGAGACACTTGAGGTTGCAGAACTTCTGTCTTCCAAGGACCCCCCCTCCAGGAAGGGAAGTTTGGGCACTGGACAAAATTATCCAATGATGCCAGGAGCAGTGATGACCGCTGGGGGGGGGCAGGAACCACCATTTCCTTCAAGGCAGGCAAAACCATCCTCCCCAACAAAAAAGCGCGCGCGCGCACACACACACACACACACACACACCCTGACTGGCTCCATGTCAGTTCCCTGGAGACCTTGACCAGCAGGAGGGACAGAGGTCTAATAAAGAAATGGCAGAAAACTGCCACTCAAACAGCCTGTCCACTTCCTCAGGGGGAACTGGGTCAAATTCAGCCCAGATGGCCTCCGCAGGACAGCACAACTTTTGGCTGGCTGCCCCCTTGAGGGCTAAGGCCCCTTCCTCTCGGCTCTGCCTGGTGGACTTGATGGGGGGAGGGATTGGGCTGGCAGGGAGGGCCGGCTGCTCCCCCCTCCCTTTGCTCTCCGGCCTTGGGCATCTGGAGCTGGCCACCGCCTTCCCAAAAGGGCAAAACCGGGGCACCTCTCCTTTGGCTTGAGGAACGGGGGGGGGGGTGGACTGATTGTGGAACCTTCCCCCCTCCCCAATCAAGAGGGCAGGTGGGTCTGTGTCCCTGTGCGCCCCTCGGGATAGCCCAGGCTGAGCATCCAAAGAACCGCCTGGCTTGGCTTATTTGTCAAACACTCAGACTACCCCCACCCAGCCTCCCCACCCAGCCTCCCCCCGGGGGGCAGCGAGGCGAAGAGAAAGGCCGAGGGGACGGCTGACCCCCGCCCGCCCCCCCTTTCGGTGGCCGATCGCGCGGCCTTCCCCCCCCCCGCCCCGCAGAGGGAGGGAGGGAGGCGGGCGGGCTGCCAGCTGGGGGGAGGCCGCGGCGGGGATGAGCTCCGGGTCGCCTGGACCTCGCGGGCTGCCAGCCCGGCTCCAGAAACTCCAGCTTCCCGGCAGCCGCGGACCTCGGCAGGGCCAACGCCCCGCTCTCCCCAGCGAGGAGGGAGGGCCGCGGGAAGAGGGCTCGGCACGTGACCGCCGGACCGGCGCTGCGTCGCCCCGGGGCTGGGATGGGGCGCGCTTTTAAAGGCAGGCCGGGCCGCCCGAGCAGGGAGCCGTCGTGCCGCCGTCGGAGCAGGAGCAGAGCCGAGACCGCCGCCCGGAGCCTCGTAGCAGCTTTGCAAGTAAGGCGGGGAGGGGGCGCTCGCTGGGGGATCCCCGCCTTCCCCTCGTCCGGTCCCAGCCCCGGGGAGCAGAGGCTGCCGGGGTCGCGCTTGCCGGGTGGGGCGAGAGCGGAGGGGCCGCTTGAGACGGAGGCGTTGGGGCGTCCCCGGCTGCCTTTCCGCCAGAGGTCGGTCCCGGGCGCCGCCCGGCCAGGCTTGGGACCACAAGGCTCTGGGCGCGGAGGGTCACGCGCGTCGGGAAAGGCGCGCTGCTTTTCCGAACTGGCGGCGGCGGCGGCGCTCCGAGGAGAAGGTCCCTCGGCCAGGCAGAGCCCCGGGTCCCTACAGACCCTTCCCATGGGAGGGGGGGTACTCTGAGTGGGGGTCGCGGCCAGGCTGACCGGCCCCTCCTGACAGCTCTGCGGGGGCTGCCCCGGTCTCCTGGGAGGGCGGCGGGCTGCTGCGGCCAGGAGAAGCCTCTGGAGAGCCGGGCCCCGCTCCGCCCCCACCCCACAATTAGGGCAGCCGTCCCAGGTCAAGAAGCGCCTGAGCTGCCCCGCTGCGCTCCCGGTGTGTCACTTCCTCTGATGGGTCGGGCCGCCTCTGCCCCAGGACTCGGCACCCTGCCCGGCCGGCCTGCCTCCCTCCCTCCCCGAGTGGCAATTAGGGCTGCAGCCTGGAATCCGGGTGCCTCACCGCCCTCCGGGGTATCCCGCTCCTCGGCCTGCTTCCCCAAAATAATTGTCCGGGGTTCAGCCACAACAACCGTCGCCGCCAGCAGGGAAGCGCTCCGCGTCATCCCAGGGCTGCGGTTCAGCCTTCCTCGTGTGGCCGGTTGGTGGGTGGAGCAACCGGCCCGGGGCCGGAGAGCTGGCGCCTCCCCCAAACGTGGATGAAGGACCGTCCAAAACAGGGCCCCGGATGGGCCAAGCCAGGGTCACCTCCCAAGGCAGTTGGTCCAGGAGCCCCCCCCCCCAATCAGCACCGTGCAGCTGAAGCCCAAGGGTGGCTCTTGTGCTGCCGCCTCCCTCATCGGCAGTGCCCCTCCCGGGCAGTGCCCCTCCCATAGAGACAGAATGGGGCCCTCTGCGGTGGTCCTTCACTCCTTGATGAGGTTGAGGAAATGGACCCCAGCCCCCCCCCCAAGAAAGAGAGGGGACAGGGCTGCTGCTCCTGCTTGCTGGTGGTGCTAGCCTTGGCTTCTTTGTGTGTGTGTGTGTGTGTGTGTGTGTGTGTGTGTGTGTGTAGCACTCTGCAGCCTGCTTTCAGGGCAGCTGTTCCTCAGGTGAGCCAATTATCCGCCTTGAGAAAGGAGCTCGGAGGGGAGGCAGCCCTTGGCAGGCCTGAGCCCCACCGGGGCCCAAGGGGGCAAGTCATGCCCTACAAGGCAGCAATTAGAGCAGGGACCAGAGGTGAGCTGGCAGCATCTGGGGCTTGACTGGCCCTTCCCAGCCGGGAGCAAAAGGGGGGTGGGGTGGATGCCTGGCCTCCCACTCAGCTTCCTGCCTGGCTGGGCTGAGCCCTCTTGCCAAGGGGCCCTTTGCCCAGTTGACCTTTTGCTGGAGCACCTGCCGCAGCCAGGAGCCGCTGAGCAGCCACCCTCCGACTGGCATGGCTGAGGTACGCGGGGCAGGCTGGGTCACCCCACAGAGCCCCCCAAGCGCAGGGGGAGGGGCTGGGAGCCGGTTGGAAAAGCCCCATTGGCCGAGGGCTGGAGCTGGGGCGTTATGTCCACATTTCCCAAGGCAGCTGCCCGTGTCCAGGGTGGCCTTGCTCTGGCCATGCTCCAGGGGTGGCCCTTGCGCCTGCCGCCCAGGGGCTGAGGAGTCCTTCGCTTTGGGCCACGTGGCACAAAAGGGTAGGGGGTAAATCTGTGGCCAGAAACCCTGGCAGGTGGGGGATGGCCTTTCGGCTGACTCTCAGGGTGAAGGACTTGCCTGCTGGCCTGGTGAGGCTACCCAAGGGGGGGGCTGGTGAGGAGCCCAAGGGGGGGCTGAGCTGCCTGTGGCCTGCCCTTGACCAAGCCCGTTGGCCTTTTCTCTCCCTACAGAGCCGTCTGCCACCTCCTCCCATCGCCAGAGACAGCGTGATATCTCCATCCAGGTCCAAGTGATGCCAGGAGACAAGCGCTCTACCACGGGGTGTCCAGAGGGTCCCCCTATTGTGCAAGTCCGTGAAGAACCCCACTGGCCCTTCCCTAGCCTGATGGATCCCGGGGAGGATCAGGTCATCGCGGGCATCCTCAAGGAGCCTGGCCGGGAAAAGCTGAGCATCCGGCAGGCCCTGCACAGAGGCCTCCTCACGCACGGAACGGGCCTGGCCCTGCTGGAGCACCAGGCCGCCTCTGGCTACATCGTGGACTGTGCCAAGAACCGGCTGCTCTCGGTGAGAGATGCCAGGAACGCGGGTCTGCTGGATCGGGATCACTTCAACACGCTCTTGATTGCCGAGAAAGCCGTGACCGGTTACACGGATCCCTTCTCGGGAAACAAAATCTCCCTCTTCCAGGCCATGAGGAAAGGCCTCCTGATCAAGGACCACGGCATCCGCCTGCTGGAGGCCCAGGTGGCCACGGGGGGACTCATCCACCCTATGCACAGCCACCGCCTCCCCGTGGAGGTGGCCTACAAGTGGGGGTACCTGGATGCGGAGATTTTCCACCTGATCTCCAACCCCTCCAATCACACCAAGAGGTGCTTCGACCCCAACGCCCGCGAGAACCTCACCTACCTGCAGCTCCTGCCCCGCTGCATCCTGGACTCGGAGACTGGGCTGCTGATGTTCCAGGTGATGGACAAGGGGTGCGTCCATCTGGAGGAGAATGCGCGGAAGTCCCTGAAGTCTGCCACCGCGAAGGTCCAGGTTGGGATATTCCAAGGTCAGGAAGTCTCCTTGTGGGACCTCCTCTTCTCCAGATACATCCTTCAGAATAAGCGGAAGGAGCTGCTGAAGCAGTTCAAATCTGGCTCCATAACCCTTCAAGAGATGACGCAGGTGCTCACCTCCATCATTGACGAGGCGGAGGCCAAAAGCAAGTCAAAGCCCATCCAGATGATGCTTTTGTGCGAGAGAGATCGAAGCCGGTGCAGCTCCGAGAGGGAGGTCATAGAAAAGATCCTGAAGTCCAGGGTGGTCATGATGCCAGCTGGGGAGTTCTCTGGACACAAGATCTCTGTGTGGGATCTCCTCCATTCCAAGTACATCCCTAAAGGGAAGAGGAAGGAACTCCTAAAGCTGTTTGCGACCGGTGTTCTCACGGTTGACCAGATGGAAGTGGTGGTTACTGCCATAGTGGCCAAAGTAGAGGAAGAGAAGGCCAAAGTGTTGAGTGCCGGCCAGGAGGACGAGAGGGGGTGTGAGCCCCAGGAGACCCAAGCACAGCAATCCTTAAAGCTGATCCAGATCCCAGTAACCGCTGGCCAATTCAAAGGGCAAAACATGTCTGTGCTGGATCTTCTCTTCTCTAAGTATTTTTCCCGTGAGAAAAGGCAGGAGCTGCTGGAGCTCTACGGGTCAGGGGTACTGAGCCCTAAGCAGATGGTGGAAGCTGTGAGGAGCACCCTGGAGAAAGTAGAGGCCAGTAGGAAGAGGTTCGTGGTAAGGATTAAGGGTCGGAGCCAGGAAGCCTTGAGGAGCAAGGAGGTTGCGGCAGTTTCAAGCTCCTCCACCTCCCAGCCGGCCGATGACTTGCTGAAGGCCAAGATGGTCATCATCCCTGCGGGAGAGCTCCGGGGGCAGCAGATGTCTGTGTGGGACCTTCTCTCCTCTCAGTACATCACGAGAGACAAAGGGGAGGAGCTCCTGAGGAAGTACCGGGAAGGGGCCTTCACCGTGCAGGAGATGGCCTCCATGCTCACCATCCTGGCTTCGCTGCACGACCTCTTCTCGACTCTGGAGAAAACAGCTCCCAGAACTGGCGCAAAGGCTTCATCCCAGGGCTCGCTTTGTCCTCCCAGTGTATCGTTTGAGGGGGAAGGAGAGGAAGAGGAGGAGGAGGAGGAGGAAGATGATGAGGACGATGGCGACGAGGACCAGAAGAAGAAGGACAAAGTCTTGAAATCGAGAATGGTGGAGGTTCCTGTGGGGGAATTCGCTGGGCGGAAGGTCTCTCTCTGGAACTTGCTTCACTCCAAGTACTTCCCAGAGAAGAAGAGGAAGGAAGTCCTGAAGCTGTACCGGATTGGAATTCTCTCAGCTGACCAAATGGAAACCATCGTCATGGCGGTCGTAACCAAACTTTGTGAAGAAAAGGCTAAAGAAGACCGGCATGGAAGCAGCCCTCCTTGCCACAGCCTGAAAGAAGCCGGGGTGGCTGAGGTCTCCGTCGAGACGCTCCGGGAGAGAACCGTGGAAAGTCTAACCTTTGAGTTTCCCGTTGGGGAGTTCCAAGGCCGGAGGGTGACGGTGTGGGACCTGCTCTTCTCTAACTACGTCTCGGAGGCCAAGCGGCAGGAGCTCCTGACCAGGTACGCCACGGGGGCGCTGAACAACCAGGACCTGCTGGCTGCCCTCACCGCCCTCATCACGGAGGCCCACAGCCAGAAGAATATGCTCAGCATCCCGCCCCTCTTCCCCCTGCTGCCCCGGGAGGCTTCGTACATGATGTTTGGCCCCCCCAGGGCCTCCATGCAAGACCTCCTGTGCCCTCAGGAACAAGAAGCCCAGAACAATGGAAAGGTGACCTACAGCGAGGTCACCATGACCACCACCGTGGTCCAAGGGGCTGAGCAAAAGCCAGAATAGGCCTTGGGCAGATTCTGGAGCTTGGAGTCTTACTCCCAATGCTGGGGAGGGGATGTGGGGGCAGGACACTGACAGGCAGCCCTGAAGGGAAAGTGCTGGGGCGGGGAGGGTCTGCTGGAGGGTCTACCGGGGGAGGAGGGGGAGGTTCTCCTGGGGTCTTAGAGAGGGGCGGTGGATCCAGGGAACCAGTGGGAGGCTGAGCCAGAGGCTGGTTTGTGTCATGGGTTCGGCTAGGCTGAAAGGGGCTGGACCGTCCACCCGTAGGGAACTGGGGCATCATCTTTGCGCATCACGTTAAGCCATCGTGGGGTTCGTTTGGGCACCACACATTATGGGAACGAGGTAGGTGCTTTGGTGACCGGGGCTGAGGCTTTGGTGTGGCACGTATCTGCCCCTGGGTGGAAGAGCCTGACCAGGGTGGCGGCGGCGGTGGTGATGGTGGTGATGGGCCTTATATCTTTGCCCGAGTCCCTTTGGCAGGAATCCCTCGCCTGGCAGCCTTCCCTTCACCTTGGCTGGGGCTGGCAAGGAGGGGGGCCTTTTTCTCAGATCGGTCAGCCCTCGGCCCAGTCCTGTGCCTGCAGGTCAAGCGTTCTCCTCCCTGGGATGCTCCCAAAGGTTGTTCAAAGACCGCACTGTGCTTGGGACCCCCATCCCTCCTGGCCCCTCCCAGGTCCCCAGGTGGAGGATCAGCCTGACCTCTGCTAACTGGCCAGGGGTCTGCCAGGGGCGAGGGAGGCCTTAGCCTGCTCCTGTGGGGACACTGCTGTCCTGAGGCCATGGGGAGGGTCCTGCCAGGGCCAGGAACTGCAGGACGGGCAGGCCCTGCCCTGCTGGCAAGAGGCGACCCAGAATGAAATCGGCCGGTGGGCAACTCCCCCAGCATCCCATCCAGCCCCTGGGTGGGGCGGGGTGCGCTCAGGTCAGGTCAGCTGTCCAGGGACAAAGCCACGCAGGAGGGACCAGGCGCTCGCTCACTGGACTTTGGCCAAGAGCTGGCGTGGGAGCTGCAGATGTGGCTGGAGAGCAGCAGTGGGGGAAGGAGGGGAAGCCCAGGTGCTGCAGTGGGGCTGTGGCGTGAGTGCAGGGACTGGGGGGGGGGCGGGGGGGACTCAGGTGCTTTTTGCCTTGTGAAACAATCTGTTTAATTTTGCTCTCTGCCAATAAAAAGTGGATGTGGATAACCCAATGGCAACTTCCTCTTTCCAAGAATCTGCCTGGCTGGTCACCGTCCCTCCTGTCCGCGAATCAAGGGTCAGTTTCTCCCAGGCGGAGGGATGCAGAGAGAGCGGCCCTTGGCTGGGGCTCTCCAGAAGAGCCGCCCCCCCTCCTTTCTCAGCCACCCAGTCCTTGACCCTCTCCTGGGGAATGGGGCTGGACCTCCCAGAGCTCAGCTAAATCCTCCTGGGGGGGGCTGCAGCCCTCTCCGAGTCACCCGGTGTGGCCCAGGGAGAGGCGCCCCTTGAGCGCTGCAGTCCTCCAGCCCTGGATGTCTCCCACTCCACCACCACCCCCCCGCAGGCAGCAGCCGCTCCCCAACTTCCCTTCTGATAAGCCCCCCCCCACCTCTGATACAAGCAGAGGCTTCCCAGCAGGGCCTCCGGCAGCAGTGGGAGGGGGCCGTGCAATCTACCCGTCTTAACCACCTTCCTACCTGTTTCTGCTGAAAATCCCCAACCCTCAGGAGAAGGGAGGGGGTTGGGAGCCCGGGGGGAGGGGAGAACCATCCCAGAAATGTAAGTTAGCTTAGGGTTCGTCAGGGGTTTCTTTATGGGGGGAAGACCAGCAGCAAGAACTGGGCACAGCAAGAAACTGACCGGCAGCCCCAGAGGATGCTTAGGCCAGGCAGGAGGCCAGTCCCTCTACCGAAAAGGAAGGACCGGGATGACGTCCCAGGGTGTGTGTGTGTGTGTGTGCGCGCGATTCTTGAGGGCGGCCTCGCTGAAGCTTGGGGACCACTGCTGCTTCCTGGATGCTTCCCAGCCACAGCCCAGGAATTCCTGGGTGGTCCCCCACCCAGCTGCAATTAGAGCAGCAAAACAAGGAAAGGAGGAAACAGGTGGGGCTGGCCCACATCAAAGGCCCCAGAGCATGCAGGGCAGAGGTGATATTTCCAGAAAAGTGGCACACCCAGAGAGCGCCTCTTCCGCAGGTGCAGCACCCCTTGATACTGCCCGACTTGTTCTTGGCCTGCCGACAGAGTGAGCTCAGCCCCTGCAGGAGGGAGCCGGAGTGGGCGAGGGAAGGGTGGCAGCAATGGGGGGAGGAGGGAGGGGGGAGGGGTTCCATGGAAGAGCAGAATAGGAAGGGAGCCTGCTTTGGGGGCTGATCAAGAGGGGGGAGGAGGTTTAAAGATCAAGCAGGCCCCCCAGGTAGCAGTCTGGTACGGGGTTGGAGAGGTGCCCGCTACCAGCCCCAGCCTGGATCCTGCCCACCATGCAGCAGCGCCAATGTGCCAGACCGTGGTCAAATGTCTACGGAGATTCTCCGTCTTCCAGGTCATGGTCTGTCCCGAAGGGGCTTTTTTTTCTGGAGGCAATTGGACTTTCTTGTGTTTCTTTTGAAGATGTTTCACTCCTCATCCAAGATGTTTCGCTTGAAAGTCCAGCTGCCTCCAGAAAAAAAGCCCCTTTGGGACAGACGGTGGTCAGGGGGGAGCCCAGGCCTCCCATCAGCCTCACTGGCGCTTACCTCCCCCGTTCCCCCCCCCATTTGTACGGGCTGCCTGTCTCAGTGCAATTTCTTGAACGCTGCAGTGAAGGAGGCCTCACCCTCCCTCCGCTCAGGAGGAGTCTAGATGAATCTTTTCTAATTCACAAATGCGACTGTAGGAAGAGAGCAAGTCCATGGAAGCTTCTGCCAATTCTGAATAAAATGGGAGTCAGAAAAGGAGCTACCAAACTCCTCCGGGGTTTTGGCCACCACAGATTAATCTGTTACCCACAAAGGTGTTGGACAGCAGGGCTGGGCCCAGGGAGACCTGGGTTCAACTTTATCCTCAGCCACAGAAACTCGGCCTACCTTGCAGGGTGCTTGTTGCGTGAAAGAACAGCCTTCTTAAGCTCCTGAATAGAAGAAGGGATGGAAAGGTCAAGAAAGAGGTCATCTTCAGAGGCCCTGGGTCCAGATGGGCCACCTGGACAGCCTGGGGCACCTGCCGTACCGTCCCTTGACCACACAGCATCCAGACAGCCTCCTCATACTTCTTGTTCAATCCTCCAGCTTGGTCAGCCTGAAAGAAGCAGCCTGTCCTGGGATTTCTCTGGTCAGCTGAGCCTCCCAGCCCCAGAGAGAGAGAGCTGGGTTTCCACTGTCTTAATTTCCACCCTGAGCGTCTGCGTTCACCGCCTCTTCTCCGGAGTGAGGTTCCTCCGCACACACACACACCCCGGATCTGGAAGGCCCCCACCTGCTAGTGCTTTGAACCGGGTTGTTTTCATTTCTTTCCCTCCAGGTGGTTGTCCTGCCATTTCGATTTTGTTCATGGTTGCTTTTATTGTCATGTTTTAAATCATTTGTGAAGCATGCCTAAAGAGTCCGGCGACAGGTCCAAATTAAAATAATGCCGATGCTAATAAATCTAAATGCGATCGGGGAAAAGACCGGCCGGTGGATTCGGGGTCAGCGCGCCCGGGCCAGCTTCGCGGCCAGGAGCAGAAGCGACCCCCGAGCGCCCGTAGCGCGCTGCCTGCGGGTTTTCTGACCGGCCGGCCGGCTTCAAAGACTCCCCGACGTTCGTCTGGCAGGCAGCTCGCCCCACGCGGGATTCGCAGAAAGGCGGCGGGGGGGGGGATAGCTCAGCCGCCCCCGCTCCACCCCTCCGCGTCCCGCCTTCTTTGCAGCCGGCAGGGCCGGCCGTTTCCCCGGCGTGCGCGCGATCTCAGTCTGCGCGGGCAGAGAGCGCGAGCCGGGGCTGCCGGGGCGAACGCGGAGGCCCAGGGAGGCCCCGCGTGGCCCGATACGCGCGGCCGCGTGCTGGGGGCCGGCTGGCAGCCGCTTTGGGCCGCCCGGCTTGACGGAGCCGGCCAGGAGGGAGCGCCGGCTGCGGGCACCGGACCCGCCACGGGGAAGCTCCGCGCGGGCGTCTCCCGTCGTGCGAACCCAAGAGACAAATAAGGGCGGCGCCGAGAGAGGGGAAGGAAGCCAAATCGGACCGCGAGCTTGGCTCAATTATGCGCCCGGTCCTCCCTGTCCCCGGGCTGGCCGCCGCCCCGGAGACCCCCTCACCTCCCGGCTGCGAAAGAAATGGACGCTGCGCGGAGCCGGAACGGGGCGCGAGAAGGAGCGGCGCCTTCGCCTCCCTCGGGAGGGGCAACCCAGCGCGCTGCCGCCGCCCCCCCCCCCGTCTGTCCCGCGACCCGCGCTGGATGCGGAGCTTCGCGGCGGGGGCGGCTTGCCTTCTGAGCCACGATGCTGACGCGGTGGCCCGCTCCCCAACACAGGCTACTGTCGGGTGGGGTGTGGGGGGTCCCGCTTCTGTCCCCTCCCATTTGCCGCCTTTCAGCCCAGGCAATCGGCGAACACCGGCATATAATGGCTGTGGAAGGGATGGCGAGGAAGGTCAACCTGCCCGACGCTTCCCTCCCCCCTCCTCGCCTTTGCACCCCACTTCCTCCTCCCCTCCCCCCACCATTGAGTTGGGCTGCTCTTGCGTTTATAGCTGCCAATGGATGTTGCCCCACCAGAAATACTCCTACTAGTAAAAGGGCAAGCAAAGTACAGAGGAAGCATCTTGTGTGCGCAACAGCAGGTGAGGCTGCCACCCTCACGGCAGAGGGCAGGCCAGGTGAGGGGGAGGCTCCTGGTGGGGCAGAACGGTGCTCTCGGGCATCCCCCTCCCCCAGAGGAAGCGGCAGGAACGCGCTGGTTATCCGGAATGGATTCACCTGTCTGTAAACTTATTCTCCAAAGCCCCTGAGGGCAGGATAAGAAGCACGGAGAGCAAACTTCTTTTTTTTTTCCCAAAGAAATTTTTTATTATTTTTCATCATAAAAAACAATTATAATCATAGATAAACAGAATAAAAAGTAAAATCCCCCCCCCNATCTTTGCCATTTCAGCAAGATTCGAAACTTTCAATCTCCAGTCTTCCATTGTAGGCAGAATTGGGCTCTTCCAATTTTGGGCTATCAGCAAACGAGCAGCAGTTAAACAATAAAGCATCAAATTTATCTCTTTTGCATCTAAATCTTGCACAATACCTAAAAGAAACAGCTGTGGGAGAAAGATAATCCTTTTTTTAAAGATTTGCTGTAAGTTCCACCACAATTGTATCCAAAAGGCCTTAATAACCTTACAAGTCCACCACATATGAAAGGAGAGCAAACTTCTCAAAGAGAGATCCAAGCCGGAAGTCAGGAGAAGTCGGAGGAATTCTTGTAGCGAGGATCATTTTGTCTCCCAAAAAGGAAGGTGGGGGCAGTAAAGGAGTCGGATGACTTGGATTTGGTCCCCTCTAAAATGGGTGGAAGCAGCCACACAACTCCAAGGAGATCTCGATTTTAACAAAAGCACGGTGAAAAGAGTCAAGCAGGAACCGGCAGGGCCGATTTTAACAAACCCAAGAAACAGCTGGGGAAACCTTCACGCACCGCAAGGGTGGCGGAGCCTCAGCACAGCCCCCCTGCGAAGGAGGAGGGTAAGGAGAGAGCAGCCTCCAGGCCACTTCCAGGAGGAAGCAGAGGAGGAGGAGGAGGAGAAACAGAAGGAGGAGCTTATTGGAGAGGGAGGAGGAGCTCCGGACCATCTGGGAAGGGTCAGAAGGAGGTCAGGAGGGCAAAGGGGGAGGGGAGCTAAGCCGCAAGAGGGCCAAAATCCAGCCAAGAGGGCTCCCAGAGAGAGGGAAAGCAGGCGGAGGGTTGACCAGGCTAGAAACCAGGAGGTGGCGAGTTCTAGTCCCACCTTTGGCATGAAAGCCAGCCGGTGGTGACTGTGGGCCACTCATACTCTCTCAACCCAACCCACCTCACAGGGTTGTTTTCTGGGGAAATTAGGAGGAGGAAAGTGCCTTGAGTTATTTATGAAAATAATAAAGGTGGGGTTTAGCTAAATAAATAAATAATAACCCAGACCTCTTTGGATCCAGAGGAAGCTGATTTGAATACCACAGGAAGGGGAAAGGGACCTTCCGGCTAAGCTTCCAGTCCCCAGGCCTGGATGAAGGCCAAGGAGCTACAGGTAGTTCTCACGTAACAACCGCTTATTTAGTGAAGTGATAACAACACTGAAAAAAATGACTTTCCACCCATCCTGACACTTACACCTGTTGCAGCATCCCCGTAGTCAGGTGATTGCCCTTTGCGACCTCCCCAGGCAGCTTCTGATGAGCAAAGTCAATGGGGAAGCTGGGGGGGGGGTGTCCCTGCAATTCCTCAGTTAAGGACTGCTGGTGATTTGTTAACAACCAAACTGGGACTGCCGGAGCTGCCATTGGTTAAGTCAGCTTGGTGGGGTGATGTTTCCCCTAACAACCGCTCCACTTGGCACTGGGGTCACCAGCCCAATTAGGGTCATTAAGCATTTGCAAATGGGGGGGAGGGCAAGGGGTCCTGGAGAAGGTGCGCTTTAGGTCATCGGCTGGGCTCCTGGCTCAAGCAAACGCCCTGCACACACCGGAGGGCTTCCTCAGGCCTGGAGAGGTGACCTTGAGACGGCTTCTCTCCTCTCTCACGAGGGACTGGCTGCCCGGCGCCCGTCTGCCCTCCTGCCAACCCTTTGGGGACAAGCCCAGGACCCCCTCTGGCAGGGCCGCCCGGGCGGGTGCAAATCGGCTGCCGAGAACGGCGGGGGGGCGGGCGGTGTCTTCTCAACAGAGTCCCTTGTAGGCCAGCCGAAGAGGCCAGGTCTGAGCAGAGACCCCAGCCCACACTAAAGGGAAGGGGGAGGCTCGTCTCTAAGAGGGCTCCTCGCCTTCACCGCAACCAGCCCCTAAACACCGGAGCCCCCCGGCGGGGCGGGGGAGGTCGGCCGTCGGACGCCTCGAGGCTGGGGGTTCGGCGGGCTCGAGCCTGGCCACCGAGGCAGGGCCGAACCGGCTCGGGAGGCGGCGGAGGCGGGCGGTCCTCCGCGCCGCCCCGTGGTGACGCCCGGCTGCGCTGCGCTGCGCAGCGGGGACCGCGAGGCAAAGAGGCGCGGTGGCTCGGCGTCCAGCGGCCTCCCGGGAGCAGCGGCGAGCGGGGCCTCGTCCTCCGCTGCACGGCCCTGCCCGGCGCCGGGAAACATGTCGGGGAGCGCGGAGGCGGACCCGGCGCGCGCGGCCGCGCAGGAGGAGAGCGAGGACGAGAGCGAGGTGCTGGAGGAGAGCCCCTGCGGCCGCTGGCAGAAGCGCAAGGAGCAGGTAGCCGCGGGCTGGGGCGCCGCGGAGGAGTCGGCAGCCGAGCGCCCGCGCCGCTCCGCCCTCCCGGTCCCGGCGGCGGGAATCGCTCTGGGGGCGGGCGGCCCGGCTGGATGACCTCCGCCTGCGCCTCACCCGCAGGAACGCTGCCCGACAGGAGGCGTTTGTTTACTTAGAACCCGGTCGAGCTACCTTCCCCCGTCCTCAGACGCTCCTACCGGGCCAGGGATTTCCCCTTCCAGCCTTTGCCCACAACGCTCACCCCGCGAGGGAGGCTCGCTCGGACAGCCCAGCTTTCCGTCCGCACATCGGCTCCACCGCGAGCCCCCCCCCTTGTCAGCGCCTGGAGCTGCCTGGCGGGAGAGTGGGGTGCGGGGGCGCAGCCGGACCCCGCCAGTTCCAAGCTCTCAGTGGTGGGATCGGGGCTCCATCCCGGGACACGAGGGCCTCCCTTTCGCCCGCCGGCTCTTGTCACCAAGCACCCCCCACCTTCGGCTGTCTGCGGCGCAGTGGCAAGCCTCCCCCCCCCCGGACCTTTTGGAGCAGGGGAAGCGGCAGCTCTCCAGCTGGGGCGAGGCTCTCTTCCCCACCGCTGGCCAGCTCCCGCCCCCCCATCCCTCCCTCCCCCACCCCAGAAGGGTCTCCTAAGCCTCCATCTGGGACACCCTCCTTCCTGCTGGTGGAGGATCCTCACTTTGAAGGGGGAGGGGCAGTGACAAGGATCACAGCCTGACCGTCCCGGGGTCCTCCTCCTCCTCCTCCTCAGCCTGCCCACCCAGCAAAGGCATCCCAGAGTTTGGCCATTCAGCGCAGAGGCTTCCCTGGGCAGAGGGGTAGGAGAGGGGGCACACCGGGTTCCCTTCTGAGGATTCCTGCAAGATACCATCCCAGCCCTTGGGGGGGAGGATCTTACCTTGTTTGTCCTCCTCCCTGGGCGTATTTCCCCCCCCCCCCGAGCTGGTGGAGGTCTTGCCTCAAGCGGCTGCCCCATTAGGTACCCCAGGGTGAGCCTTACGGCTCCTGCCCTTTGGGTGAGCTGCCCCCACCCTTTGTCCTGACTCTGCCTGCTCCCTGGCAGAAGCAGGCTGCTCCCCCCAGCACCCTGCTCCCCCCCAGCACCCCCCAGCAGGCAGCCCCCCTTGTCCTCCAAGGGGCCTCTCCCAGAAAACAGGGGCGGGGGGGGGGAAGTCAGAGCGGAGAAACCAGCTTTGCAAGTATGTGGTGCTGCCTCCCAGCTGGGATTTCGGGCGTCCTTGCGCTTTGTTTGGCAGCACCTGGGCGTGGTTTGGAGAACTTCCGGGGTGAGCACTTTGTCTGCTCCATATCTCTGAGGCTGCTGCCCGCCCCTCCTCTTCACCCACAGCCCCCCCCCTCAGGGCAAGTGGGATTCCTGCCCGGCTCACCGCCCGGGCCTTGTTCAGCCAGTTCCTGGGCCGAGCCTGGCTTTAGCCAGCAGGGCCACCCAAGTCTCTCCCCCCCTTCTCAGGCTGGCAGCTCTGCCCACCAGGCTGACCCGGGGACCCTTGTGGGGAGCTGAGAGCAGCAGACTCCGGCTGGCTCTCCGAAGGGCCCCCCCCGGGCCCCTCTGCCTCCTGCGGGGCTCTGGGCCGCCTGAATTTCCTCCACCACATTTCCTCCAATGGCCCCATCGGGTCTGCTTGGAGGGGGCTAAATGGGGGAGCCCTCGGGGTTTCTGGTTGATTGCAACTGATCCCCCCCCCCGTTGCCGATTCTTCTCTAAGGGTCACTGTTCTAAGAAGGATCTTGCAGGGCTGGTCAGCAAAGGGAATCTGCTGGCTCTTTCTCTTCATCTGCTCCCCCCACCTCAGGAGAGGCTATGGGCCATCCCTCGATCGGGTGGAGCCCATGGGCTCGGCTGAACTGCTGCTGCTGCTGCTGCTGCTTATCGCCTGGGGGGCCCTGACCGGAGGCTTATCGGAGGAAGGCAGGGCTGGGCTGGGCTGGGCCTTTTCCTGGTGTGGCACTTCTCCTTTAGTCCCCAGTGCTGCCTCCCCTCCCCCCCTCCCCCCCCCCCAGAGCTTTGGCTCTGCTTCCCTGAGTTTTGCTTGTTGTGGCCTCAAAGGAAACCTTTGTTCTTGGGGCGTGGGGCAGCCTTGGGGCGTGGCGTGGGTGAGTGGCCATTTTGCCTTGCCAGAAAAGGAGCGATGCATCCCCCTGTCAGCCCTTCGAGGTAGACCAGGTCAGGAAATAGAGCCACCCCAGAGCCACCCCTTATTGGTCTGGGCCCCGGGAGAGCCCGGGAGAGCTTCTGCTCTGGCGAAGAGCTTGGGCAGGGGGGGGGTCTTGGTTTCCTGGTCACCCGCTTCTGTCGTGCCAGGCTAGGCTGATGATTTTGCAGGGGCTGCTGCTCAGCCTCTCTCTTTGTGGGCATCTCCACCTTCCCCTGCTGCTTCCTTGCTTCCTTCCTTCCTTCCTTCCTTCGGGAAGGGGACACAGAATCTGTGGGTCTAATTTCTAGGCCAGGTGAAGATCGGCAAAAGAGTTTTATGTCCCATCCTGATTTCACAGCACCAGTAAACTTCCCCGGGGGAGGGAAGCGGTGGGAAGCCTCTTGTAAGCGGCGGCAGTGTGGAAGCCCAGCTCCGTTGGCAGGGTGCCTGTCCCTCCACAGACCGTCCGCTTGGCCATCAGGGCCCTCCCTGGGCTCCCAAGAGAACCACCGTGCTGCCGGTTGGCCTCCTGAATCTTGCAGGCAGTTGCCATGGCAACGGCTCCATCCGAAGGCTGTGCTGGTACCCAGGCCAGGCTCTCCTTGGCGGTGGCAGCCCCCTTGCCCTCTCTCTGCAGGTGGCGGGAGGGAAGAGGGAAGGGCAGGGCGAAGGGTTCGCTGGTGGTCCAAGGTGGGGCTGGGCGTGGGGTGAAGGGCCCTTGAAGTGGCCGTGAATCCTCTCCTGGGCAGTGCTTTCCTTTCCCTGCCCGGGCAGGCATGTTTTTCCTGTGGTTGGTTGTTTATTTATTTGAGTGTTTTATGGTGAACACGTAGGTATAGATGCTAATTCAGTATCAAGAGAATTAATCAAAATGCCTAGAAATCCACTCTATAAATTATCCCTGAGAAATAGAGAATACTAAAACCCAGAGTCTCATGTTATCTGCCAGCTGCAAGGAGGCTGCAGGGGAATCAGCTGGATGAACTGCCCAAACACAGTCCGGGACAAGGAGGCGGCCTTCCCAGAAGCGAGTGGGGAAGGGGGCACAAGAAGCTGGGCCTGGGCAGAGAGGTGCTCTTCCCCCTCTCCTCCCTGGTCCCGCAGGGGTGCAGACCCCCCTTCCTCCTCCTCCTCCTCCTCCTCCTCCTCCTCCTCCTCCTGCTACTGCCAGAAAGCCACCCTGGCGCTGGGCTGTGCCCCCTCCCTGAAGTCTCCAGTCTCAGGAAAACAAGATGGCAGATCCCGCTGCTTCCTCCCTTTGCTGGCGGTCCTGCTGCTGAGCCCTGCCTCCTTATGGGCCCCAAGGGGGTGAGGGGAAGCTGCTGCCTTTGCTCCTGGTTCCCCTGAGCCAGGGGGCTCCCAAAGCGCCTGCTGCCAACCAGCCTTGGCTTCTACATGGGCAAACCAGTGCCCCCCCCTTTTTATTTTCTGGAAAGGCAGCCGCTGGCAGCCCTGCTGGCAAATGGCAGAGGAGGGGATTTGGGTAGCACCTTCAGGCAGCCACCCCACTCCTGAGGGGCCCTTATTTGGACCTGGGACTAGTTTCCTTAAGCAGCTCCTGGAAAGCTTGGAGGGGGGGGCTGGCCGCAGTCCCCTCCCTGGATGCCCAGCCAGAGGCTCCTGCCCTTGGAGGACCCAGGAGAACAGCTCTCTGCCCCATTTCTTCTGCTCACCCAGGCGGGCGTTGCCAGTGCAGTGGCTATCGCTGCAACAACACTGACAGGCTGAGCTTGGGGGGGGAGGGGTGTTCGGGGCACATCCTGAGGTTCCACCTGTTCTGGGTGGTGAGATTCTGTGTCACACGGGTGACGTGTGAGCCGAGGAAATGGGCTGATTCGGCCATCCCATTAAGGGCATGGGGAGGGGAAGGCCCCCTTTCCCCTCGGAGGGTGGTCTCTTTTTCGCTCCCTTCCAGTGGTGGCACAGCTGGAGGGCAGGGGATGGGCCCCTCTGGGTCTTCCCCCCCCCCAGAGCTGCCCTGTTTGCCCTAATCCTGCACGTGGAGCCGGAGGACAGGGCTACGGGCGCCCCAACCGCTTGGCTTCCCCTCCTCTGTCTCCGGGCAAGGAGGAGGAGGAGAGAACCACGCGGGCCTCAGGTGCCGGTCAGGCTCTGGAGCTGATGAGGCCATTGCTGGTTGCAGACAAGGTCTGGAGACCTGGGGAGGGGGGTCAGGGGAGGAGGGCAGTGGAGCCAGCCAGGGCTCTGCAACCTAGAAGAAAGGGGGGAACAGCCCCACCTTTCCCTCCTAAAGCAGAGGGGCTGTGTGCCCTTGCCTTTGCCAGGCAGTGGGGCAGCCCTATGAGGGGCCGCCTGAGGGACTCCATGCTGCATGCAAGGGGCAGCTGAGCCAAGACACGGAGCTTCTCCTGATGGGCAGGCAGGGCCCTGTGCCTCGACCTCCCCTCTGGCAAGACAGGGACGTGCCAGCCTGTTTCCTGGCCTTTTCCCAGGGGGAAGATCTGCTCTACAGCCAGGGGGGGGGCAGACTTGTCCAGATCCATCTCTGGCCTGGAAGACTGCAGATGAAATATTGCCCAGGCCGTTGGCTGGTTCTGGACCTTGTGACACAGGCAGGGTCGCGTGGGTGCCTGTGGGTTCTCTGGCCGGCCTGGCTGCTGAAGCTGGATGATGCCCACAGGTAAACCAAGGCAACATGCCCGGGCTCCAGAGCACGTTCCTGGCCATGGACACGGAGGAGGGAGTGGAGGTGGTGTGGAACGAGCTGCAGTTCACCGACAAGGCGGCTTTCACGGCGTACGAGGTGGGTGGGGCCCACAGGAGGAAGGGTGCCTGTGCTCAGAGCGCCCGTCTCTGGCTGCCCCCGGCAGAGGCTCCCTTCCCCTGAAGTGCCCCTTGCCCAACAGGAGACGATCAAGGCCACCTTTGAGCAGCTGGTGGTCGTTGACCACCCCAACATCGTGAAGGTGCACAAATACTGGCTGGACGTGAAGGAGAGCAAAGCCCAGGCGAGTGTGCGCAGGGTAGGCCGGGCTGCCTGAGGCCGGAGGGCTGGGCTCAGGGCAAGGGGCTCCAGGAACGTCCCTCTGAAGCCAAGAGGTCACGGGGGCAGGGCGCTGGGGGCAGGGTGAGGGCTGGCAGCATCCGGCAGGCCGCCGGATCAGGAAGTGGAGCTGGGAAGGGGCTTGAGGGGGACGCCTTCATTAGTCTCTCTCAAGGGCCGGGCTTGAGGGCTCCCGAGAAGGGGCAGCCTTCCCTGTGGGAGGAGAGGGGCCAGAGCCCCCTTAGTGCCTGGGCCCACTCTGACCCCTCCCCTGCAGGTGATCTTCATCACTGAGTACGTCTCCTCAGGCAGCCTGAAGCAGTTCCTGAAAAAGACCAAGAAGAACCACAAAGCGATGAATGCCAGGGTGGGTGACCCCCCCCTCACCCCGGCTGCTTGCGTCGGCCACCCTGGGAGCCCCTCCAGAAGGTTGGGCACAGGGCTTCTGGTCCTGTGGATGGGCCCTCAGGCTGCCAACCGCCTGGGAATGGAGGGGGATCTGGGTGGAGGGGCTGCCCGCATCCCGGCCTCCTTTCTCCCTCTGCTCTCTCCCCGACAGGCATGGAAGCGCTGGTGCACCCAGATCCTCTCAGCTCTCAGGTGAGTCCCGGGTCTCCCCCCACCCAGCCCCTCCTCAGCCACGATGCCCCTCCTGATGGCTGGCAGTGCCTGTCAGGCGCAGGGCTCCCCCAGCACTCTTTCCCTGCAGCTACCTGCACTCCTGCGATCCCCCCATCATCCACGGCAACCTCACCAGTGACACCATCTTCATCCAGCACAATGGGCTCATCAAAATTGGATCAGGTACGAGGGAGGTGGGCTGGGGCAGACCTTGGAGCCCCTGAAAGGAAAGCCAGCCAGGGAGACCCCTACCGCTCCCACAGGGCCCTGAGAAAGACCTGTGGCCTCCCCCTCCCTCCTGGGTCCTGAGGCCCTGATCATCTCTTGGTTGGACCGCTGCAACACGCTCTGCCCGGGGCTGTCCTTCAGAAGCTACAAGCGATAGAGAATGCAGCAGTGCAGACCCTTCTGGAGGGCGTGCATGTAACACCGCCATTGCCCGCTTGCTTCCGGGTCCAACTCAAGGGGTTGGTCATTACCTGTAAAGCCTCTTGTGGCCTGGGTCCAGGGTATCCGAGGAACTGTCTCCCCCAATAGGATTGGCCCACCCTGTTGTCCACAGAATTTGGGCTGGTGGGTCCAAGACAAGAAGCCATTTCTGCTTTGGCCCCCACCTTCTGGAATATTGGAGGTGAGCTTGGCCCCCACCCTCCTGGCCTTCCAGGGGAGCCTTGGCTCTGGCGGGTGGCCGAGGGCCCTGGTGGGGCGTTCTAGACTCAAGATGGCCAACAGGGTAAAGAGGAGCTGTCCACACCCTTTTCGCCTGTCCTCTTGGTTTTTAGCTTCTTGTTTTATTTTTTCTAATTTTAAGTGTTTCGTATTTTTACTTTTTCTTATTCTGTAAGCCACCCAGAGTTGCCGTAACGGTGGGACGAATATAAATATAAATATAATGAATAAATTGGGGGGCTCATTCCATTGCTTTCACGCCTGTGCATGCACGTATGTGTGTTGGCTTGATCAAGTTCCGCCATGCTTCCCATGAGGAGGAGAGTCAGGATGGTCCCTTCCTAGAATGTCCCACGGCGTATATTCATTCGGCCGAGAGTAGCGAGGGTTCAGTCTGGCAAGATTCTGTCTATGGTGCGTAAGCAAATAAAGAACTGACCTCTGGCTGAATTGCTGGTGGTCGTTCTTGGGCTTAGCCTGACGCATCGTCCGGGACTTGTTTGCAAACGCTGGGGTGACACAGCAGCTTCTGGGTAGGAGCCCCCACATCTCTGTAATGGCCTTCTCCTCTCTCCCCCACAGTCTGGCATCGTGTTTTTGCAAAGGGTAAGTGAAGCTGCCTGGAGTTGCCTCTTCCCGCCCCTCTCTGCTGGCTCCCGCATCAGAGTCAGGCCCTTCACCCTCACCTGGCTTCAGGACTGTGTCTGGGCTGCCACCCTCTGATGCAGGAAGCCAGCTCTGGAGGACACCCTCGGCCCCAGGCCGTGCTGAGGATTGGTGGCGTCTGCTCCAACCTGCCACCTTCCCCAGCGCCTTCCTTCCCTCCCGCAGCCCTTCCGCCCGAACTCCACAGTCCGGGCCGCACAGAGCGGGAAGACCCACGGAACCTGCACTTCTTCCCTCCGGAGTATGGAGGTGAGAGCAAGCCCCTTCCGGTGGGGGGAGGGGCATGGTCGTTTTGGGGCATGCCGGCTCCATGGGACGCTGTTGGCTTTTCAGAGACGGCCGACGGCACCGCGGTGGACATCTTTTCCTTTGGGATGTGTGCTCTGGAGGTAAGGGGCTGCGGGGGCAGAGGCCGAGGTTCCCCCTGGCCAGCTTCTGCTGCTGGCAAAAGGGGATCTGGAACCCAGCCGCTGCCTGCGTGGCCAACCCGGCTCCATCTTGGCCTCTCCCACAGATGGCCGTGCTTGAGATCCAGTCAAACGGGGACTCCTCCGTGACCAAGGAGGCCATTGAGCGAGCCAGGCACTCCCTGGATGACCCCAACATGCGGGTGAGAGGCAGCATGACCCCTCTGGGGTGGGGCAGGGGGTGACAGGATGACCGCGATCACCTTGGTCTCCAGCTGCCTGGCGGTTCCCATACCCCAGTCTTCTGGAATAGTGCATAACATTTCCACGGGCCTCAGAATTGCAAAATAATCCTGGTTGTTAAGTATGGGCACATGGATGTTACTCTTGTCCTCCTGGGGTTCTGCCCCCCCCTCGGGGTTCTGATGGACAGAGAGAGCTGGAGTTCATGTTATCCCTTCTTTACCATCTGCCCATTCAGTCACTCCGGACTAGAGAGAGGTCATATTATACAGTGTTGCAGGAACCATTTCATACAAAAAACACCCCCCGCCCTAAGTGCCATCCATCCATCCCTCTCTTGCTCGTTAAGAAGCAGGTGGCTCCTCACAGTCCTCTGGGTATCAGGCTTCACCCTGCTAAGAACAGGCAGCCACGTTTACAAGAAACCCAAGAAATTCAGAAGAGTAATATTAGGTGGAAGGCCTCCCAAGGAATTCCAGCGATTGCCCTGATTTGAGAACAAGCTCAGTGAGCAACGAACAACCAGCAACTGTTGATCTACCACCAATTTTGCAACATTCAGATTTGCTATCATCTTGGGGCGAGGAGTGGGGGAATCTCCACGACCTTTAGAACCTAATTCCAAGCAAAAATCACTAGATAACTGATTATGTAACGAAGTACAGAGTAAAGAGAAAGAAGGAAGAAAAAAAGAAAAACATATTGAGGTAGAGAGTGATGGGAAGGGAGAGGAAAAGGAAAAGCTGTACTGGGCCCAACTCTTACTAATAGAGAAGAAGTGATAGAGGGAGTTGAAGTTGCTGGAACTTTGGGTGAGAGTGACCACATCGTACTGGTATTCAATATAATGCAAACACAACCAATAATAGAACGTAATCCAATCAGTGTCTTAAACTTTAAAAGAGCAGATTTTAACAAACTCAGAGAGAGCCTAGGAAAGATTCCATGGATAAAAATCTTAAAAGGGAAAAGAAGCGTGGGAAACTCTGAAAAATATCTTCATAAAAGCCTAGTCCACCACAATATCACTGAAAAAGAAAAACAAGAAATCTAAGAAGAAACCACCATGACTGCACAAAAATCTCTCTGATAAACTCAAAGACAAAAAGGACAAGTACAAACAACACAAAGGGGGACACATAACTAAGGCAGAATATCAGCAGATAGCCCGAATCTGCTAAGGTAACGTCAGGAAAGCAAAGGCTCAGAATGAACAAAGACTTGCAACAAAAGTCAAAGATAATAAAAAAAAAAATTCAACATATAAATAACAGCAAACAAGGAAGCAGTCAGTCCACTAAAGAGGGAAGATGGCAAGGAAGGAACAGGCAGTAGGGAGAAAGCAGAGCTGCTTAACTTATTCTTTGCATCAGTCTTCACACAAAAATAAACTATAGCCCAATCTACCAAAAACATTACCATAAACTGTCTAGAAATTAAAATTAAAATAAGCAAGAAAATAGTAATAGAACACCTGTCTGACCTTGATCAATATAAATCTCTGGGTCCTGATGGATTACATCCCAGAGTTCTGAAGGAGACGGCAGATGTTATCTCAGAACCATTGTATCATATCTTTAAAAAATCCTGGAATTACCTTGAGGATTGTAAAAGAGCTGATCTGGTTCCCCCCTTCAAAAATGGGGGGGGGAAACAGACCCAGGAAACTACAGACCGATCAGCCCGACATCAATACCTGGAAAGATCCTGGAAAAGATAATGAAAAAAACAGATCTGCAAACATTTAGAAATAAAGTTATAACTAGAAGCCAGCAGGTTTTGTTAAAAAAAGATCACGCCAAACCAATCTTATTTCATTCTTTGAGAAAATTGTCAGATTAGTAGATCTGCAAGATGCTGTGGACATAATATACTTAGACCTCAGTAAGGCATTCGACAAAGTAGACCAAAACCTACTTCTTGGTAAGCTTGAAAAATATGGGATAGACAGCATCTCCACCAGATGGATTTGTAATTGGCTGACAAACAGTACTCAATGAGTAGTCCTGAATGGTGCTATATCTACATAAAGGGAAGTAAGCAGTACGGTACCACAAGGTTCTGTCTTAGATCCAGTATTCTTCAATATCTTCATAAATGACTTAGATGAGGGAATAGAAGGGGAAATCATCAAATTTGCAGATGACACTAAATTGGCAGGAATAGCCAACACCCCAGAAGACAAGCTCAGGATCCAAAAGGATCTTGACAGACTTGAACGATGGGCCTTATCCAACAAAATGAATGTGGAGAAAAGCAAAGTTTTATATTTAGGCAGGAAAAACCAAAGGTACAAGTACAGATTAAGTGAGACCTGGCTCAAAAACAGCAACTGTGAGAGGGACCTTGGAATCCTAGTGGACAACCACTTAAACATGAGCCAGGCGTGTGCAGGAGCATCCAAAAAAGCTAATACAATCCTTGATTGTATAAACATAGGCATAGAATCAAAATCACGTGAAGTATTAGTATCACCTTATAAAACCTTAGAAAGGCCACACCTGGAATGCTGCATCCAGCTTTGATCACATTACACACAAAAAATGTTGAGACTTTGGAGAAGGTGCAGAGAAGATCAAGTAAGATGACTAAAAGCCTGGAGACTAAAACATATGAAGAATGGTTGCAGGATTTGGGCATAGCCAGTCTAGAGAAAAGAAGGACTGTGGGGGGGGCATGATAGTAGTATTCTGATATTTGAGGGGCTGCCCCAAAGAAGAGGGGGTCAAGCTATTCTCCAAAGCACCAGAAGGCAGGACAAGAAGCAACGGATGGAAACTAATCAAGGAGAGAAGCAACCTGGAACTAAGGAGAAATTTCCTGACTGTGAGAACAATTAACCAGTGGAATAGACAGCCTTCAGAAATTGTGGGTGCTTCATCACTGATGGTTTTTAAGAAAAGACTGGACAGCCCCCTATCTGGAATGGTATAGGGTCTCCTACTTGAGCAGGGGGTTGGACTAGAGAAGGGGACCAGTACCAGGCCGTGGCATGCCAGCAACCAGTCTGCACAAACAATCAAAGCCCCATCCACAGAATGCAGGCAGCACACAAAACCACGCCCCCACCATTCTGCGGGAAAAATCTTTCTCCACTGGTGCGCAAAAGATTGGGGACCTCTGGACTAGAGGCTATCCAAGATGCCTTACAGCTCTGTTCTGAATTGAATTTTTTCACACTAAACGTGTGAAAACTAATCAGTGGGAGACCTCCAAAAGACAGGTTACTCCAGCCCTGGACTACGTATAATGCAACATCTGGAGGCAAAAGTAGAAGGGATGCTTATGGAATCTGTAGATGACAAAAGCAGACAATGCCCTAGAAAACAAATTAAATTCAATAGAATAGAATAGGATAGGATAGAATAATAACTTTGTCAGTTTGAATGTACACTAATAAGCATATATTAAAATGAAATTTCATTGCATACAGCTTTCAAATGGTCACCACCTCCAATATACACTACATAAATATGACAAAAAATAAATACCAAAATATGCATATTCCCACATACATTATATGACACAGAGAGACAACACAGTCTAGTTTGGCCAACATGATCGCCAATGTCCAATAACAGATATGGCACAAGAAGAAGAGCATGGTGAGATAATCCTAACGGACAAGAGTTCTTCCTTCAGGAAGTCAGGGCCAGGCCTGCCTCAGCTTGAGCCTCTAAGAGAGAACGATCCTTAACTCCACTTGTCGGGAAAGGTGGAATCTACTAGAGGTGAAGTGAAATACGGTAGTGCGAAGCCAGAAGTGAAATTCAGGGACCCAAATCCCCAAGTCAAACTTCGTTGCCTGCCCATGCTGCCCCCCCCATGTCCAATCAGATTCAAAGGAGACATTTTCTGAAGGGGGGGGCTTCAAGGGTGGGTTGCAATGCAGCTGTCTTCCGTTCCCAGCTGGTTGACCTTGAGACCTAAAGAGTGAAGTTTTCCTTTTTCCTTGAATCCTCCCCCGCCATCCAGACCCCCTGGAGTTCATGGCAGTCTGGCCCTCAGTCTGCACTGGCAGCTGACAGTCAGATGTGCAGGCATTTCTATTTTGGGGGTGGGGTGGGGTGGGGTTCTTGATAAATCACAGGGTGATGAAGTTGTAAGAAAGGCAAGCACAATTTTAGGTGGCCTCCACAGAAACAGTTGGTTCCACTTCCTGCTACCTCAACAAGACCCACCCTGAGAACTGAGATTGGCTGCAGAGAACTTAAGATCCTTACATAAGAAACTGCTGCAGTTGAGTGAAAAGTAATAAACCGGAGGTGGGGAGCTGAAGAAAAACGGGATGAAAACCGAGGGAGCAGGGGCAGCCAGAGCCTACGCGTTGTCCTCCTCATTTGCTGTGTTTACACAACAGACTTAACCGGGTCACGGGCTTAAAGGGCTCACCCGCCGTACCTCCACTCACCTCTGAGGTTTGTTTGTTTGGGGGCTTAGTGTGGTGTGAACCTGCCCTGCCTGATGAGGCCCATTCTGATGATCCCTAAAATGGGCCCCCACCAGGCTCGGCCAGGGCAGGTCTGCCACCTTTGTCTTCAGACGGGAGAAGGGCACCACCTCCTGCTCTGGGAATGCCGGCTCCACGCTGGAAGGGAACCTTTCCGGCTGCCACCGAGCGCCAGAGAGCTTTTGCTTGCAGGATTTTCTGTTCATTGAACCAATCTGTGCGCCAGTTCGACATTCGGCACCTCTCAAAAGCTTGCATGAATAGTTTTCATCAGACATACGAAATACCATGATGTGTAATTGGAAAGACCCTGCTTGGCCAGTTGCCCCTGCCCTCCTTTCAGAGTTCCTGGGCTGGAGGTGTCTGGTCCTCTGGATGCTCTGCAGGTCAGAAGGGCGTGGTGGTGTCGGCGTGGCTGTTTTCTGCCAGGATGAGCTAAACATAGCTAATCAAGACACCTCGGCCCATTTTGGGCAGGTTACTCCTTCCTACTCAACCCTCAACTGTCCCTGTGCAGGGCTGGGCTGAGCTGCCTGCCCCAGGGTGGGGGCAAGAGAGGCTTTTCTCTCTGTAACCATCTCCCCCCTCTCCCTCCTTTCCCCCACCCCCCATGCAGGAATTCATCCTGGGCTGCCTCCTCCTGAACCCCAGCCAGAGGCCCACGGCCCACGACCTGCTGTTCCACCGGGTGCTTTTTGAGGTCCACTCCCTGAAGCTCCTGGCTGCCCACTGCTTCATCGCCCACCAATGTGAGTTTGGGGGGGGCTGGGAGCAGGGCAGGTGGGAAGGGCGGCCGTGTGGAGGAAAGGCCGGCTGCCCCTGGCTTGGAGTTCCAGTCCTGTGTCTTGCAGACCTGTGGCCTGAAAATGTGGTGGAGGAGAAAACCAAGGAGCTGGATCTCAGCGAGGTGATGGCAGAGATTCGACGGGCAGGGCGGCTGCCTGTGCAGTGGAGGTGGGTCTGGCCCTGAGCAGCGCCCTCAGGGAGGCTCAGGGCCTGCCAGTTGCCACCTGGGATTCCTGGCTGACCTGGGTGGTCGCAGGCAGAGATCCAAGGCTGACCCTTATCGCCCTGCCCCCTCCCTCTCCAGCAGGGGAGAGCCTAGAGGGCAGGCAAAGCAGAAGCCAGGTCCTGGGTGCACCCGTCTGTGGCACGGAGGCTGCTGGCAGCCATGGCACCTTGGACCCTCCTGGCTCTGTTGGGCGTCTGCAGCTGCCACAGACACCTGGCCTAACTTTGTCCTCCCTCCCCTCCCCCAACCTCCCCAGATATTCAGAGGTCTCCTTCCTGGAACTGGACAAATTCTTGGAGGACGTCAGGTGAGTTTCTCCATCTTCCGCTTCTCCCTCTGCAGCCACCCCACTGTCCTTGCTGGGACCCCTTCCCTGACCCACCTCCCTCTTCCTGCCAGGAATGGTATCTACCCCCTGATGAACTTTGCCACCATCCGGCCCCACACCCTGCCACAGTCCAGTTCCCAGGCCCTGGAAGACCCCCAGAAAGCCCAAACCCCCACACCGGAGCCTTTTGATGTAGAGACGCGGAAGGTGAGGTGGCTTCTATGGATCAGCAGCCCCCTCCCCTTGTTTGGAGCCCAAGGAGGCAAAAGGGGGGGGAGGGGCTGCCTCTGGGACTCTCCTCTCCTCCATCCTTTGCACCACTTCAGTCTGTTCCCCCCCCCGCAGTGAGTGAGGAGGAGGCGGACCTTCCTCAGGGTGGGCAGCAAGAGGTGGGGTCAGGAGCCCCAGGAGGACACTGCTGACGTGTCATGGCGATGGGGGGGGACGACTAAAGTTTTGACAGGAGCAAAGTCCGTTTCCCCTCATCCCCTGCAGGGACGGCTCACGTGGCCCCAGAGACCCTCACAAAATGGCTACAGGCCAACACCCGATGCTGCACCCCCATTTCTCTGGGGGGAAAAGACTAAGCCGCCTGGCCGCCCCTCTTGGCCGGCTGGGGGGCAGGCGGGAGATGCGTGTTTCTTGGGAGGGGGCTCTCAGCCATGGGAGATGCTCCCACGCAGGGCCAGGGAGCCGAGCTCGGGGAAGAGCCCCAGGAGGGGCAGCGTCCTGCACCCCCTACCAGCAGGGCCTTGGCTGGGGGGCAGGGGCTCAGGAGGGGGCTTCTGCTGAGGGCTGCCTCTGCCCCCACCAGGTGGTGCAAATGCAGTGCAATGTGGACTGGCTGGAGGAGAGGCGGCAATGGCACGTACGTATGGCCCGGGGAAGCGCTTGCAGCTGCAGGCTGGGGGAGCGCCAGGCCAGGCATCCTGGCAAGCGGAAGCCGGGCCTTTTCAACAACCCCCCCTCACCCTGCATTTACCTAGGTGCCCCTTGGGGTGGGGGCAGCACAGTCCAAAGGCGCTCTCAGGTGGGACAAAAGTCATTCTATAAAGCTTGCTTATCTTTGAAATTGCGCTCCAAACAGCGACACCTTCTCCGGTAAACGTTCGCTTTGCCAAGAATCCTTTCTTAGTAGTTTTATGGATAGGTTTTGGAAGTGCCCTGCTCTCCTTCCTCTGCCCCAGAGGGCCACAATTCATGCCAATCTGTGCCTCCCCAACAGCTGACCCTCCTCCTCATCCTGGAAGACAAGCTCCATCGCCAGCTGAGCTACGACCTGCTCCCCAGTGAGTCTCACCCGCTTCCCTCCTGCTGGGGGGCACAGAGGTGGGGGGATGGGCAGCGATGCCAGCTGTGCCTTCGGATCCTGGACAGGGTCTCCCCCTGGGTTCCTAAGGCAGGTGCAGCTCCCTCCTTGTCCTGAGGAGAACCTGGAAAAGGCCATCCCACCCCGGGCCCTCCACCGCCCCCCGCCCCCCCCCGCTGCATGGGGATTTCTTTATTCACGTGGCTAGGTGGCCATGAAATGTTCCAGCCTGAGGAAGGCCTGTAACAGGAGATCCCAAAGGCCTGCTGAAGCAGCCAGGTGCCATGCTTGGCAAAAATTGGTCTCCCCAGGGAAGCTGGCCCAGGGGCCACACTCCCTAGAAGCAGGGCCCTGCGAGGAGCTTCTCTTGGGAGAAGCAGCCCTAGAGACACTCCAAACCTTGAGGGGCTTCACGAGGGACCCCGAGGCACCTTGATTTGCCCTCGGAAACAAGCTGGGAATCAGAGTGGCTCTCACAGCAGAGGGGCTGCCTTGCAAAGGCCGCTAGCTGGCACAGCAGGCGGGTCCCTGCAAGGGCTCCCCAGCCACCCCGCCCGGCCCCTGAACCAGCTTTGCAGGAGGCCCAACGGCCGACCTGGTGAGGCTGGCAATCCCTGCTCCTCCACAGGCGACAATGCCAGGGACCTGGCGGCTGAGCTGGTGCAGTACGGATTCATCCGCCAGGTGAGCCTCCTGCACCCCCCACCATCCCTGAGGCGGCATTGGGGGCGGGGGGGGGGGTTCGCCCGGCAGACTTCAGCGGGTGTGTGCGTGTGTGTGTGTCCAGCAGCACAGCCACAGGACCACCGCCCCCCCCCTTGTGTAGCCCTCGGGAGCTCCATGGGGCTGGAGCTTTTACACGTCCCTCCTGCCAGGGGGCTCTGGGTGGGGTGGGGGACCCCGTGGAAGGGAGCCCTTGCGGGGGGTAGGAAGGAGGAGGGGGAGGGCCGGGACGCTCCCTGGGGCCTCACCCCTCCCTCCGCTCTCTTCCAGGACGACTGGGAGAAGCTGGCGGCGTTCCTGGAAGGCGCCCTGCACCGGCCCCAGCCCCCCCCCGCCCGAGGCGCCGGCTCCAGCCCCGAGACCGGCAGCCAGGACGGGCCCTGAACCGGCAGCGCCCGGGCGAGGGAAGAGGAGAGGAGCGGCCGCCCTGCCTCCTGCCTCCCCCCTCCCGGCTGAGGGGCCGCGGGCCGGGGGCGCCGCCGCCGCCGCCCAGCAGCCGCTTCCCGGGATCGCGCACGGGGGGAGGGGGGGCAGGCGGAGAGCGGCAGATCCTTCAGGCGGCCGCCGCCCTTGCCCCGCCCCGCGTCCAAGCGCCGCCCACCCGCGCTCTGCCAGCTCTTGACGCCTCTCCCCCCCCCCGCGCGACACGCTCCCTCCGAGGGCGGGTGGGCGGGGCGAGCGGGAAAGGGCTCCGCCGCGTCCCGAGGACGCCCCCTACAGGCTCAGCGGGGCGGCTGGCGGCAATCAACAGGCTCGCGCAGGCGCCCTGGCCGCCCTCCCCTCCGGAGCCGCCTCGCGTTCGCCCGGCCTCCCGCCGCCTGGTTCTCGCGAGACTCAGGAGCGCGGGGCGCGAGGCGGCGGCGGCGGCGGCGAAGATGGCGGCGGTTGCGGCGACCACCACCACCACCACCACCGCGGCGGCGCTCTCTCTGGTAAGCGGCCGCGCCGGGCCGGTCGGAGCGGAGGAGAGCCGCGCCACGGAGATGCGGGGCGTCCCCGGCGGAGCCGCTGACGGGGCGGGAGGCGGAACTGCATTTCCCTCCCCCCGCGCCCCCCTTTCCCTTCCACGCGGGAGGGCAGGCCGGCCTCCTGCCCCCCCTCCGCCCTCGCCCGTTGCAGGAGGCGCGCCCGGACGGACCCCCGTCCCAGCCAGGCCGTTTCCGGAGCCAGGCCGCGCCCTCTGGGTAGGGTTGGGCCCCGAGCCCCTCCCGGAGCTCGGCGGGCCCCGAGGCCCGGGGTGCCTTCCGGGCCGCTGGGCGCCAGCGGCAAATCGAGGGGCCCAAGCCCGCTGCACGTGGGGGCTGCATGGGAATTGGGGTGGGGTGAAGGATGGGGCGCCCCCTAGGCTGAGGCCTCAACCCGAAGAAAGGCGCCTCCCCCCTCCGCCCCCCCCAGGCGGGCCCCCGATGCTGGGGGGGCTCTGGCCTGGGCTCCCCCGACTTCTGCGCCCCCCCACGAGCCTTCCCAGCAAAGGGCAAGGCAGAGGCCGATGACCTAATGGCCGGGTCCCCCCAGTCGCCCTGCAGGAGGGTCTCCTGAGCGGCTCCCCAAGGGACACCTGCCGGCATGCTCCCTCCTGCCCTGGGGCTATTCACAACCCTTTGGGTCCAGCCCCCCCCCGTCCTTTTCACAGCAGCTCTCCCAAGGCCCGTGGGTCAAGAAGCCCCGCCCCGCCTCGCCTCCCCCCCCCCCAAGGGCTCCTGAGCCACGAGGTTCCGTCCGCTTTCTTAGAAACCACAGACTGAAACCTTTGCCAGATAAGACTGTTGGACAACGTCGTTTCGGACTTTTTCTAGCTGATTTCTAAGTCAACAAAGGCGAAAGATTCCCTCTCTGCAATATTCTCTCCTAAGAACTCACAGTGGTCCTCCATGGATAGTCTGACCATCTTTCCCTAGATGATCTGGATCATAAAAAGTGAATCTTGAGGACTTGGAAAAAGTTCCCTGCATTTTCAACTTCACCACCTCTGGATTGGGCCTCTGCACAACCTGGCTGGTGGAAATGGCCAGGCAGGGAACTGGGAACTTGATTCAAGCTGTGGTCAATCCATTTGAGGGAAGGTGAGGCCCCAGAAGTCCTGAAAGAGATGTAGGTCCATCCACTCCTCAAAAAGCTAAATCTGAATCCAGCAGTTATGAATAACTTCCATTATATCCCCAACCTCCCCTTTTTGGAGAAGGTTATTAAGAAAGAGGTGGGGCTGCAGTTATAAAAGGCTCCAGAGAAAATGGATGACAGTCCGGTTTCATACCTGACCGTGGGATAAGAGACGGCATTGGTCCCGCTGATGGTTGACCTGTGGAAGGACTCGCATGAAGGGAGTGCAAGCATCCTTCTCTTCCTAGACTGTCCAATGGATTGCGATGCTGCCAGGCACAGCATCCTCCCGAACCACATCTGAGGACTGAGAGTTGCTCTGGTAGGTCCACTCCTACCTGATGGTTTCCGTTGGGCGCAGCAGAGGAAAGAGTCTAGTTGCCAGATTCTCTGTTACGGAGTGCCCCAAAGCTTCATCCTTAACTCTGTGGTGTTTAACGGTTAACTTTAAACTCTCAGGAGAGGTTATAGTTTGGGGTGAGTTATTATCTGATACATTGTAAAAGTGTACAGCACCACCCTGGGCCCAATCACTCCTATAATCCTCTCCTCCCCCCATCTTTTCACCTCTCCCTCCCTTGGGGGTAACAGACACCCTTGCAATTTCTGAAAGCAGAAATCAAACTTTCACTGCTAGAACCTGGTAAATGCACCCTTGGAATCTTGAACTGCAAAACATTCAGCCATAGTCATGGGCGATAGGACTTCATGGCAGTAGAAAATTAACGGGAAAGGGAACTCAGAGCTCAAAAAGCAGATACCAAATGCCCAGCTACAGTCAAGTCCAATGGGGACAAAATGTCAGATACTGCAGAAGCGAAATGGTTACTCGCTTAAAAAAGGTCCCGGTTACCTTGCAGGAGTCTGTATTGTCTGATAGGAGGTCAAGAAGGTAGAAGTACAGAATGAATGGTGGTTGCAAAGGTTTCTAAGAGCCACAAAAAGGGCTTTAGGTTAGGGATGTGCAGCAGAAAAGGTGATTCAGAGGGGAAGGTGGCATGTAGGTCTCTTCAGTTCCACATCAGTGGCTTAAGGGCATTGAAAATAATGGGGTAGGGGGAGGAATCCGTGTTTGAGCTACTCAAACAAAAAAGAAGAGAGGTGACTTCCCTGTGGATTTTCCAATTAAAGAGGATGTATTTCCCCTGAAAATTGTGAAGGGCAGAATGAAGGATGGGACTAAAAGCTGAGGCTGATAATTGCACGATTAGGAATAGAAGTTGGGCGGTTAGGCTGATCTCCAAGCTCGGCGATTCGGCTGCCAAATGGAGGCAAAACATTTGCAGCCAAACCACCAAGCTCGGAGAACAGCCCAGCCACCAACCGGAGCTACTAATATTCAAACAGATCTCAAGGAATATAGGTACTCCCCACTTACTGCCTCATCCAGCAGCTGCTCAGAGTTACAGTGGCCCTGAAGAGGTAGGTTCACAAGAGGTCCTCCAACTTGCAGCTATCGCCACGTTCCCAAGTCAACGTGATCGCAGTTTAAGCACTTTGCAACCCCTTTACAATGATAATGGTATCCCACGGTCATGTGATTGCCACAGCAGGCTTCCTGCAAGCAGAATCAGTGGGGAAGCCGGCAGGAAGTTGCAGGTTGGGGGGGGATGTCATGTGAGGAGGTTGTGCTTAATGACCCCAAGTGGTTTGCCTAACGACTACAGTTGTGAGGTCAATGTGGCCATGTGAGGTTTCACTAAAAGACTGTCACTCAGTGATGGTATTCTAGTCGCAATTCTGGTTGGTAAATGAGGACAACCGTTGCCTTTTTTCCTCCTTTCAATGGGTTAAATCAGTGGGAAATAACTGAACATCTGGACAACCCCTTATGTAATTGCTGAGAAATGCTGCACAGCTGCATAAAGCATCAGACGGCTAGCAGGGAGTGATTGGGTGAGAGGCAGGGACCCAGAGAATGGCTTTCTCAATTTAAGTATCAAGCAATCAGATTGTTCTGAATTTACTACGATGCTGGTCCTTTCCCTCCCCCTCCCATCTGAGTGAAACTGGGCCTCCCTGCCCCCTCCGCGTGGGTCTCCTCTGTTCAGGTGGGCTTTCATGAGTGTCTCTCCAATTTCAGGGCACCGAAACGGTCAAGGTGGAAAATGGGCAGAGCACGTCAGCCAAGCTGGGGCTCCCTCCTCTCACCCCGGAGCAGCAGGAGGCTCTTCAGAAGGTGAGCAGCCCGACCGAGGTCGTCCAGCCTAGGCACAGCCAGAGAGAGAGAGAAGCACGGGCGAGGGTCTTCTCCTTTCCCGCCAGGGCCCTGCCAGGAATGTACAGCCGCCTTCCACACGACTGGGCTATAACCACATTTGGGGATTTCATCCAGCTAATCAGTGAGGGGCTAACAGATGCAGAACAAATGAATGGGCATTAACACGATTTAGCCCAAAACTGTAGCTGTGTGGACACCAAGAAAGTTGGTGCTTTTAGGGCAAATGTGCATCGCTTTGTGCTGATGGCTGTTGAGTTACATTCTGTGTACATATATTTGTATGTAATTACCCACTCGTCCACCACCCCCCTCTTCGTAGGACTAAAATCCAAAACAGAACTCGGAATGGACCCTCCGGGTCCCCCAAGTAGCTGGGGCCAAACCCTTCCTGGAGTAAAGCAGCTTTAACTAATACTTAGGAAATTGACCGGGTGGAGGGCTGTCTGGAATGAGGAAACCTGCCCCGAGTTCTTTGGCCTCTTAAGAAGGGCTGGGCCGGCAGAGGATACTGGACTCCCAGTAGAGAACCGGTAAAAAAGTGTCCCACAGAGGCGAAGGTTTAAAATTCCTTGTCGGAATCGGTAGGAAGTGTATTGAAAATGAAACGGACCCCATAGGAAGGACCAGCTGATCAGATCGTGTTCGGACTTCTTCCTATTACTCAAGATCAGTCTTGCTTGAGAAGAACAGTAATAATAATAATAATAATAATAATAATAATAATAATAATAATTAATAAAGTTGGAAGGGACCTTGGAGGTCATCTAGTCCAACTTCCTGCTCAGGCAGGAAACCCTACACCATTTCGGACAAATGGCTGTCCAGTCTCTTCTTAAAAACTTCCAGTGTTGGAGCATTCACCACTTCTGGAGGCAGGTGGTTCCACTGGTTAATTGTTCTCACTGTCAGGAAGTTTCTCCTTAGTTCTAGGTTGCTTCTCTCCTTGGTCAGTTTCCATGATCCGTTGCTTCTTGTCCTGCCTTCAGGCGCTTTGGAGAATAGCTTGATTCCCTCTATTTTCCAAAGCGCCTGGCACAGCTGGGGAAGGTGCACGAAGAATCACCAACCTTATCAGGGGATTGGGGCCGATTTCCTCTAGGAAAAGTGAGGGAGGGTCCTTTTTAAGCTCAGAGGAGAGGCAGCCAAAGGTTTATGAAGTCACGCACACTGTTGGTGACGGGGAGGGTGGGGTTTCTCCCTCTCCCAGTGGCAGAACTGGGGTTGATGCATGGCAGCCCAAGGCAAGGAGAGTGCTGCTGCTTTACCAGCTGGCGGGCACTGGTAGGAGAGGAGGCCAATCCCCCCTCCTGCATTGGTGCTGCTGGGCTTCCTTGGGGCATTGAGTCAGTCCCAGGGGACCCTGCAGGCTGGGCCAGAGCTCCACTTCGTGGCTCCCCAGCGGCCAGGCAAGTGTTCTGGTCTGGCTGGCTTGGGGAGCAGCTGAGGGGAAGGCCAGCGCCGTCCCAGAGTCTTGTTCCCAGGTTTGTTGCAGAGGTTCCATCAAGCTCCTGCTGGGCGAGAGTGTCCTTCCTGAGATGGTCTCCAGCGGAGAAAGTGATACCTGGGCAGGGATTGTTCCTTCAGGAAGACCACTGTGTGAGGCCCATCCTATGTTACTGTGGAAATAAATTAGGGAGCTAGCTTTATATATTTACTTAAAACGTTTATATAGCTGCTCATCTTATATTGAACTCTGGGTGGCTCCGTTGCCAACAATCGGAACAGCACCAATGTTAAAAACGACATAATACAGATCTTATACGGTTCTAAAACTCTCATTCCTATAAAACCTCTTAACTGAGAGAAATGGTGCAGAGTAGAGTATAGAATAGAATAGAATAGAATAGAATAGAATAGAATAGAATAGAATAG